CGTGGGGGGCGCAAAAACAGGAGCTCTGGTGGGGCGGGGGTGCCGGGGCGGAGATGCTGTCGCGTGGGTGGTCCCAAGAGCAGGAACTCTGGCGGGCTATAGGGGCGCCGGGGCGAGGAGGGGGGCGCGGGCTGTTACCTAACAGCGAAGACTGATAGGTTTCTAGTGGTGTCAAAAGAGAGCAGCAGATGACTCCACAGGGGGGTCCGGGCGGGACCCGGGGCGGCTGCCTTCGAAGCCCAAATCGCTTGGGACATTTTCGCAAAATCGCTCTTGGCGCTCCCAGAACTCCACTCCCGGGCTACATTTTGAATGCCCGGAGCCAACTGTAGGCCACTTCGTGCTCTTCGACTTCCCAGAACTCCATTCCCGGGTCACATTTTGGATGCCCGGAACCAACTGTAGGCCACTTCGTGCTTTTGGAATTCCCAGAACTCAACTCCCGGGCCACATTTTGGATGCGCGGAGCCAACTGTAGGCCACTTCGTGCTCTTGGACTTCCCAGAACACCATTCCCGGGCCACATTTTGAACGCCCCGAGCCAACTGTAGGCCACTGCGTGCTCTTCCACTTCCCAGAACTCTACTCCCGGGCCACACTTTGAATGCTGAGGCAGGCTGATGCTGAGGCTGAGGCAGGCTGAGGCTGAGGCCGAGGCTGCAGGCAGACTGAGGCTGAGGCTGAGGCAGGCTGAGGCTGAGGCTGAGGCAGGCTGAGGCTGAGGCTGACGCAGGGCTGATGCTGAGGCAGGCTGAGGCTGATGCAGGCTGAGGCTGAGGCAGGCTGAGGCTGAGGCCGAGGCTGAAGGCAGACTGATGCTGAGGCTGAGGCAGGCTGAGGCTGAGGCTGAGGCAGGCTGAGGCTGAGGCAGGCTGAGGCTGAGGCTGAGGCTGATGCAGGCTGAGCTGAGGCTGAGGCTGAGGCTGATGCTGAGGCTGAGGCTGAGGCTGAGGCAGGCTGAGGCTGAGGCTGAGGCTGAGGCTGAGGCTGAGGCTGAGGCTGAGGCTGAGGCTGAGGCTGAGGCTGAGGCTGAGGCTGAGGCTGAGGCCGAGGCTGAGGCAGACTGAGCTGCTGAAGCTGAGGCTGAGGCTGAGGCAGGCTGAGGCTGAGGCTGAGGCAGGCTGAGGCTGAGGCAGGCTGAGGCTGAGGCCGAGGCTGAAGGCAGACTGAGGCTGAGGCTGAAGCAGGCTGAGGCTGAGGCTGAGGCAGGCTGAGGCTGAGGCTGAGGGCTGAGGCTGAGGCTGAGGCTGAGGCTGAGGCTGATGCAGGCTGAGGCTGAGGCTGAGGCTGAGGCCGAGGCTGAAGGCAGACTGAGGCTGAGGCTGAAGCAGGCTGAGGCTGAGGCTGAGGCAGGCTGAGGCTGAGGCTGAGGCTGAGGCTGAGGCTGCTGAGGCAGGCTGAGGCTGAGGCTGAGGCTGATGCAGGCCACTGCGACTGTCATCGCGAATGCGACTACGACTGCGAGAACAACAGAATTCTACAACTGGATTCTCATCTGAATCTTAAGGGGAATGCTTCCAGATAGGCTCCTACACATCGCTGTTAGGTTGCTTTGCCGGGATAATTTTTGTGCGGGATTGTCGTGACGGTGGCATCAAGAACACGGGATTTGGTAGTGTGGGGGCGCTGGGGCGAAGAGAAACAAGGCGTCGCGTGGGAGGCCCCGACGACAGGAGATCTGTCGGGGGAGGGATGTCGGGGCGAGGAGGGGGGCGCGGGTTGGTCTCGGGCGGGAAATTGTCGCGTGGGAGGCCCCAAGAACAGGAAATCTGGTGGGGCGGAGATGCCGGGGCGAGGCGGGGGGCGCGAGTTGGTCGTGGCTTTTGGGCGAGAAACTGTCGCCGGGGCGAGGAGGGGGGCGTGGGTTGGTTTCGGGAAAAGAAGTTGTCGCGTGGGAGGCCCCAAGGAAAGGCGCTCTGCAGGGGCAGGGATGTCGGGGCGAGGAGGGGGGCGCGGGTTGGTTTTAGGTGAGGAATTGTCTTGTGGGAAGTCCCCAGCACAAGAGCTCTGGTGGGACAGGGTTGGTGGCGCGAGGAGGGGGGCGCGGGTTGGTTTCGGGCGAGAATATGTCGGGCGGGAGGTCCCAAGAACAGGGGCTCTGGTGGGGTAGGGATGCTGGGGCGAGGAGGGTGGCGTGGGTTGGTTTTTGGCGAGAGACTGTCGTGTGGGAGGCCCTCAGAACAGGAGCTCCGGCGGGGCAGGGATGCCGGGGTGAGGAGGTGGGCGCGAGTTGGATTTGGGCGGGAAATTGTCGCGTGGGAGGCCCCAAGAACAGGAGCTATGGGGGTTGGGGCGCTGGGGCGACAAGGGGTGCGTGGGTTGGTTTTGGGCGAAATGGTCGGTTGGGAGGCCCAGGGAACAAGAGGGCTGGCGGGGTAGGGATGCCGGGGCGAGGAGGGGGCGCGGGTTGGCTTTGGAGAAGAAATTGTCGTGTGGGAGGTCCCAAAACAGGAGCTCTGGTGGGGTAGGGATGCCGGGGCGAGGAGGGCGGCGTGGGTTGGTTTCGGGAAAAGAAGTTGTCGTGTGGGAGGCCCAAGGGACACGAGCTTTGCTGGGTTAGGGATGCTGGGGCGTGGAGGGGGGCGCGGGTTGGTTTTGGGTGAAAAATTGTCGTGCGGGAGGCCCCAAGAATAACAGGAGTTCTTGTGGGGTAGGGACGCCAGGGCGACATCGGGGGCGTGCTTTGGTTTTGGGCCTGACATTGTCGCGCGGGGGGTCCCAAGAACATGAGCTCTGGTGGGGTGGAGATGCCGGGGCGAGGAGTTGGTTTTGGGCGAGAGATCGTCGTTTTGGATGCCCCAGGTTTGGGATGCCCTGGCGAGGGGGGCGTGGGTTGGTTTAGGGCGAGGAAGTGTCGCGTGGGCAGTCGCAAAAACTTGAATTTTTGGTGGGGTAGGGATGCTGGCGCGACGAAGGTTGGTTCTGGTAGAAAAATTGTCGCGCGGGAGGTCCCGAGAACAGGAGCTCTGGTGGGGTGGGCATGCCGGGGCGAGGAGGTGGACGTGGGTTGCTTTTTGGGCGAAGGATTTTCGCGTGGGAGGAGGTCCCAAGAACAGGAGTTCTGGTGGGGTAGGGATGCTGGCGCCAGGAGGGGGGCGTGGGTTGGTTTTGGGCGAGAACTTGTCGTGTGGGTCCCGAGAACAGGAGCTTTGCCGGGGTGGGGATGCCGGGGCGAGGAGGGGGACGTGGTTTGGCGGTTTTGGGCGAGAGACTGTTGTGTGGGAGGTCCCAAGAAATAGAGCTCTGGTGGGGTACGTAGGGATGCTGGCGCCATGAGGGGGGCGTGGGTTGGTTTTGGGCGAGAACTTGTCGCGTGGGAGGTCCCAAGAATCAGACCTCTGGTGGGGTGGGGATGCCCGGGCGACGAGGGGGACGCGGGTTGTTTTTTGGCGATAAATTGTCGCGTCGGAGGCCCCAAAAAACAGGAGCTCTGGTGGGTTAGGGGTGCCGGGGCGAGGAGGGGGGCGCGGGGTTGCTTGGGGGGAGAAATTGTCGCCTGGGAGGTACCCTGAACAGGAGCCCTGGCAGGGTAGGGATGCCGGGGCGAGGAGGGGGGCGTGGGTTGGTTTTGGGCGAGAAGTCGCGTGGGAGGTCCCAGGAAAAGGAGCTCTGGCGGGGTAAGGTCGCGTGGGAGGTCCCAAGAACAGGAGGTCTGATGGGATAGTGATGCCGGGGCAGCTTCATCGAGGATGAGGAGGTGGAGGAGAACGAGGGCTGGGGGTTCAACGGAGAACGGTTTCTGCATCATCCAATGAGTGCGAGGAACTTCTGACCCAGCTTCGCCGGGGGCAGCTCACGAGACGTCCGACCTTCACCCTGAGAAAATGTATAGTTGTATAGCGTAGGGGGATTTCCTAGAAAATGATGCTTCAAATTGTGAAGCAGCCTGCTCTTGGAAATCTCCCGACGCTGCACAGCCGAAGGCTCACGCGTCGCAGCCACCAGCCACGGCGTGCTGCCCGAAGAGCGCGGCGCACGCCCATATTCGACATGTAGAGTGAGGAGGAGCGACAGAAGGACGTATACGTACATGAATCCGCACTAATGGCGAAAGTACGCATTGTGCGAATGTTCGAGGGGCCGTGTCCATGGGCGCGTATGTCCTTTGTGGGCTCCCTATACAGGGCGGCAGTTGCAGGGGGACAGCGGCGGGGAAGGAATTGAGCGCAGGCATGGCTAGGAACGCGGCGTACAGTTGAGTCTGGTACGCCTCAGTACAGGAGGAGACAACAGAAGCAAGAACACCTGCTAGGACACGGAAGGAGAAGGGGATGCCAGCGACCACCCGTTCGAGGATATAGGGCACCCGCTATATGCGATGGGGCCTTTGAGTCAAGTGAGCTATTCCCTACTGCTGCCGGGCTGCTCCTTGCAGAGAACGGCTACTTGACGTTGCCCTTAACACGCCATATGCTCGCATCTGGCACGGTTCGGAGAAGCGGGTTCCAAAAATACACGGGTTCCAAAAATAAATGCGGGCCGCTAGATTTTCCGGTAATTTTGGGACGTATCTAGAGACAGTCGTATTGTTTCGTCATGGAATGATCATTGTTTCCCAGACGTTGGAATGCAGAACGGTTCAGGTTCGCAAAAGGTTCATTGTTTCTTTGGTCTTGCCATGGTTCATCCTCTAGCGTTCTTCGTGCGCCCCAGCGTTTTCGTTGGGGGCCACATTCTTTAGCGTTTCTCTTGGCGGCGGCTTGGCTATCCTCCTCCTCCTCCTCCTCCTCCTCCTCCCTCCTCCTCCTCCTCCCCCCTCCTCTCCTCCTCCTCCTCCTCCTCCTCCTCCTCCCCTCCTCCTCCCTCCCTCCTCCTCCTCCTCCTCCTCCTCCTCCTCCTCCTCCTCCTCCTCCTCCTCCTCCTCCTCCTCCCCCCCTTCTTCCTCCTCCTCCTCCACCTCCCTCTCCTCCACCTCCTCCTTCCTCCCCACCTTACTCCTCTTCCTCCTCCTCCTCGCCCTGCCCCCCTCGTCAGCCCCCCGAGAGACGGCGGGGCGGAAGGCTACGACTACGGCAGGCGGTCGCCCTCGCGGGGCCGCAGCCGCTCCAGGAGCAGGAGCGGGAAGGGCGGCGGCCGTGGCCGCGGTGGGCGCGGCGAGCCGAGGGAGGAGCCGCCGCGCGGCTGCGCGCCTCAGGAGGAGGAGGAGGAGGAGGAGGAGGAGGGAGGAGGAGGGTGGAGGAAGAGGAGGAGGGAGGAGGCAGGAGCCAGGAGCCAGGAGCGAGGAGCCAGGAGCGAGGGGCGAGGAGGAGGAGGAGGAGGAGGCGGAGAGGCCGAGCGCAAGAGAGTAGCCCAACAGAGGCGCGGGGCTCCAGGAGCCGCCACCGCGCCAGCAGCAGCAGCAGCAGCACGGTCGCGGGAGCCTCGGGAGGAGGAGGAACCCCAAGGCTCGAACGTCGGCGAGGAGATGAGCTATGGGAATGTGCTGCAGGGTGCACCAGGAGCACGTGCAGACTGCGCTCCACACGCTCTCGGATCGGAGGCACGGTCTAGTGTTGGAAGGTAAACGCCAGCTTTGCTATGGCATTCCGCAGGCCGCCAAAGGGGGGTTCCTCTGGCAGCTTGAGGTTCGACTTTTTCGGGTGCTTCGTTGGTTCCCGGCAGTTTACCAGCCTCTGGATGGCTTCCAGCGGCTGCGCCTCGCCGAGAGCGTTTCCGGGGGTGCCCGGATCGTCTCGAGCGGCCGCCAGCGAGGTGCTTTATGGCCCGAATTCCAGGGGCAACGGCATGGGGCAGGGGCCAGGATCATCGGTACTATCGAACTTTGCGTGGCAAGAGTGGGCAGCGTGCGCAAACGTTTTCGCGTCGAGGAAGAGGGCGACCTTCGGTCCGAGTCTCCAGGCAGAGGCCAGACCTCGGTTCCTCGGTTGGTGGGCGTGCTCCTCCCTCCCCTGGGCCTCCAGGAGGTTCCTCGTCGCCGCGACCGGGTTCGCCTCGCGAGGGGGCCGAACTTCGAGGTCGAGTGTGTCCGCGCTTCGGTCGGTTATTCTGCGTCGCAGTCGGTTCGCTTCGGTCCCGTCTCTGTCCTCGTCTCTCGTCCATCTTCTGCCTTCCGTCCGCAATCCGAGGAGAAGAAGACATGCCTCGTGAAGCAGCTCCGCAAGACGAAGATGTGCTTGCACTTCAAGAGGGGCAAGTGCAACTTCGGGCCCGAATGCGCTTTCGCGCACAGCGACGAAGACCAGCGGGGGGGAGTAATGAATTGGAGGAGGAGGAGGAGGCGGAGGAGAAGGAGGAGGAGGAGGAGAAGGAGACATCGGTCAGTAACGCACGATAAATAATAGCAGCAGGACACGGCGCAGTAAGCAACAAAGATGATGGTGATATTGATGATGACGATGATGATGATGATGATGATGAGGATACCGATGATGATGTTGGTGTTGATGATGAGGATGATGATGCAGATGATGATGATACCGATGATGATGTTGATGCTGATGATGATGGACATGAGGATGATGATGAGGATGCTGATGATGATGATGCTGCTGATGATGATGATGATGCTGATGATGATGGTGATGGTGGTGATTAGGATGAGGATGAGGATGAGGATGATGATGCTGGTGATGATGCTGATGATGATCATGCTGATGATGATGATTATTGTGATGATGATGATGATGATGATGATGATGATGATGATGATGATGATCATGATGATGATGATCATGATGATGATGATGATGATGATGATGGTGATGATGATGATGACGATGATGATGCTGATGATGATGATGATGATGATGATGATGCTGATGATGATGATGATGATGATGATGATGATGATGATGATGATGATGAGGCGAAGGGAGGAGTAAGACCAGCAGCAACAGCAGCTGCTCGATCTCGGGTGCTTCTGGATCGAGCTCATACGGCTCCCAGGCTCTCTGGCTCGACAAGGTCGGCACAGCCCTTCTTCTTTGTGGTTGCTTGGCATCGAGATGCGCAGCATCCTCGGGGTACGAAACGGTGACAGCGGTGGTTGCAGAGAAGCAAGAGCGAACATAACCTTCTTCACCCTGTCCTCGCCACTTCTCCTCGTCGTCCCTCTCCACCTACCATGTCTCCACCCTTCCCCTGCTGCTGGTTTCCCCCCTTCCCCTCTCCGCCCCCTCTTCCTGACGTCGCATTCCGCGCGCCCCCCTGCTTCTCTCACCCTCCCCTTCTCTCGCCTCGCCTCCCTTGACCTGCCTCGCCTCTCCTCTCCTCCTCCTCGGGTCCTCCTCCTCATCCTTTTCCTCCTCCTTCTCCTCTTTCTTTTCCTCATCCTCCTTTTCCTCCTCCTCCTCCTCCTCCTCATCTTTCTTTTCCTCATCCTCCCTTTCCTCCTCCTCCTCGTCTCCGCATCCTCCTCGTCCTCGCCACTGGTGCGCTGGCGCGCCGCCGAAGCCCTGGGGATGTCAGGCGAGGCGGGCGCCTCGAGGTCCGATGGATAAATAGTGATCGCCGTGTGGCGCCTTCGCCCCAGAGTGAGAGAGCCTTTGCAAAATCTGGCCCTTCGGATTCGACTACGGTCAGCATCTCCACGAGATCTGGCCGCCTGTAACCGCAAACGTCGGATCGGGAAGGGATCGGGTCGCGCCCGATCTGGCGCGGAATCGGATGCTGGTCGGGGTCGGGTCGTTTGAGATCGTGGGTCGGGTTCGTGCAGTTCTGATGGGGAGGGCAAAAAGGAATATCTTGAGACATGGGCTGAGTGGATTCAACGTACAGCCCGAGATGTCGAACAACGTCTGGAGGATGTTGGGATCGTTGATGGGATTACGCAGTACAGAGTTCGAAAAGGAAAGTTGGCAGGGTGGTCTTACAAGTGGTTTTACAGGGTGCTGTTGTGGAGCCCAGGCAGAATCCACAGCAAGGGAGACCGCATCGGGCGCCCTGCTAAGATGCGGGCCGACGGCTTCGTAGACACGTGTGGCTAAAATTGGACAAGCGTGGACAGAATTTGAAAATCGTCTCACCGCGCATTGAACATTGAGCTTCTCTTCGCCATTGTCTCCTCACTGCCGTAGGCGGGCGCGCCTGCGTTCGCGTAGTACGCCGCCCTCCCTTTGATTGGGGCCAGTCCGACTGTGCAGGGCACGAGTCGAGGCGAGGCGAGTCGAGACGAATCGAGTCGGGTCGGGCTCGACCCTCGCTGGCGTGAGAGGGGATCGATTCGTGTCGGATGGGGTCGGATTGAGATCGAATCGAAGTTTGCTGGTCGGATCGGATCGAGTCGGACCGTGAGCAGCCCTGCCTCTCGCCATGCAATTAGTCTCGACTACAGTTTTTGGAATCTTTCTCCCAACGCCACACCCCGAAAAATAGTCGGAGTACAAGTGCCATCAGTTTCGCTTCAGCCGCATGCGTGCTATTCCCCCCCCACCACCTCGTAAGATTCTAATTCAAGGACCCCTTGCGGTGGGACCCCCTGGGGTCACCCACTGTGTTAGAGAGGGGGCGGGGCTCATCCGGTGTGGCCTGGTTTGGCAAGGCGAGACGCCTCGCAGTCTGCCGAGTTTGGCCTGTTTTTGGCGCAGTTTCGCTTGAGACTCCTCCGAGGCCTTCCAGGAGGCTGCCGCCCTCGGCTCACACCGACGGATGATAAAGGAAGCGCAGGACCGACGCGTGACCGGTTGCCGAGACTGTGTGCGCAAGTGCCCTTGAAGTGGCGGCTCGGCGCAACGCTGGAGCGAGCGGGGAACCCCTGCCCTTCAACGGGCCATGCGTCTTCATTTGCTCATGTCTTGGGCCTCCAAGAGGGCGTGTGGATTATTATTATTATTATTATACTTCTTCTTATTCTTCTTGTTCTTCTCCTTCTTCTTCTTCTTCTTATTATTATTCTTCTTATTCTTCTTTCAACGTCCGCTGGCTCCTCCCTCGACTGCGCACACGCCTCGGGCCATGATGTGCAAACCCTTCTCCTGACACCCCCCTCCTCTTCGGCGCACCCGGTCTCTTCGGGCCGCCCTTACTCTTTACGACACGCGCCGTCAAGCGCAGGAGCTCTCCGCGGTGCCGGACCTTACCAAGACGCGCTTGTGCATCGCGTTCAGCAAGGGCCAGTGCCGCAAGGCGGATTGCAGCTTCGCGCACGGGGAGGCGCCACGGGGGTTCGGGGGGCCTCACGATCGAGGATCGAGATACGAGGATTGAGCTTTGCCCACGATCGAGGGGTGGGGACCTCCATCCTCCTTCGCCACGTCCTCGGCTGCTCTTCAAGGGCGACTCTCCGCCAGAGCGACCTTTGGTGCGGGTGTGCGGAGGTCAGGGGCAACGTCAACGGAGGGGAGAGGCGCATTGGTGGCTGTTGGGAAGTGCTCGAGACTGGCGGGTTGGTTTCATCAGCCGCCCCTCGTCGAGGGCGTTCGGGGGTTGTGGGAATCGTCCCGCACGCCCGCCAAAGAGCCGCGCTCAGTCCTCAAGGTCAGGGAGCAGATGGTCAGGGGCAATGAAGGACACGTATACAGTCAACCATGGTAGAAAGGATGGGGCAGTTTTCCAAAGCTACCCTTGCATCCTTGCCCCATTCGGCATTCGGCATCCTTCGACATTCTGCTGCGCTCCGCACGGAAAACGTCAACATGGCGTTCCAAGGCCCTTGCATCCTTACCGCGCATCCTTACTATCCTGGTTTGTACTGATCCCCCCGTTGCTAACTCTCCTTTCGTCCGATCGGCGGGCTCTGCCAGCTCCGCTCTCCTCGGCGCCTAGAGTAGAGACGACGGCGGTGGCAGTGAGGAGGAGGAGGACGGCGACGTGGAGGAGCCTCGAGTGCGGGCTTCGGATAACGGAGGTGTTATCGCCAAGACTGTCTCGAGCTTCGAACCTCGAGGTCTCGATCCCCGAACCTCGATTCTGGAATTTCGACCCTCCGTTCGAAGGACACGAAATTGCATGAACATAAGCACTGTTGTTTCGCAGCTCCGCGCGGACATCCGAATGTTTATATTCATGCCGCTGGTCCTCCCTCTATCGAGCCTTGGGCCCTCGAACTTCAATTATCGACTCTCGGTCCTCAAACCTGGAGTCCTCGAACTTCGATCCTCGACCCTCGAGGACGAGCTCCGGACCACGGAAACGTTCTTCAAGACGACCATCTGCAGCTGGAACGAGCGGGGCAAGTGCCGCGCGGGCGCCCAGTGCCGCTTCGCGCACGGCGAGGAGGAGTTGAGGCCTTGGACGTTGTCGACGTTCGTCTTCGTCGTCGTCGCCGTCGTCTAATCATCGCTGTAATAGGTCACAGGGACGGGTGGCCTGCGTGCCCTTGTGACTCATTCCCTGGCTCTCGCTGCTGGTTGAGGTCCGATGGCGGGATTGACAGACGCGCTCCAGTGACTTCCAGCAAGGTTTCTTTTCGCTGCTCCAGGTTGGATTCTTTGTATGTGAAGACTGAGAGGTGGCCGTGACTCTTTTCTCGCACGGACAGTTTTCGGGCAATTGTGTTGGTGTTTCGTGTGGCGTCCTGGAAAGCACAAATTTACAGATACATTGTACCCAATATGGCCTCCGATGCTGACCGCACCGTGGGTCGCCATCATATTCAGAGCCTGCCAGGCGGTCGAGCTGGACTCGCCGTGACTCGTTTTCATATCACGGGGCGTTGTCGGGCAACTTGTTGTGTTTCCCTGGCGATTGCCCTGCGATCCTTCTTTCAGTCCTCCTGTTCCTTCCCCTCCTGCCCCTCCTCCTCATCCCATTATCTTCCCTCCTCCTGCGGGATCTGAGGCAGCCTGACTGTGTTGGAGAGGCCTTCCTTACTACGGTTCGACGCAGTTCGGGGGCCAGGAGCAATGCCAACACTCCCTGCGGGAGGCAATGCAATAACCGAGTGCGGGCGATAATAAAGTACCCCCCCTTTCCCCCCGAATGTTTAGTATCCCCGGCCAATGGGATTCAATTGTGGAGGGAGGCGCTGAGCCCGAATGTTATAATCCACGGGAAACTTGCGGGGATCGAAGTTGTTATCATATCATGTTGGCTGGCAACAGCATCAAAAACGTTGCCCCGCAGCTGCCCAGGCACAAGTTCCCCCGAGTCTCAGAGACTCCAAGCTTTCGAGCCTCTTCGAGGCGCCGAGCCTCTTCGTCCCAGGGGCAGCGATAGGGGGTGATAGGCATGCCGAGCCTGCCCAAGAACGTTCGGATTCACGATCGGGCGCGCATCGCCGATGCATCGGCGATGTATCGCCGATTCCAGGTCGATGTCCCCCCCCCATGCCTATCCCCCCACACCGTTGCCCCTGAGTCCGTCTTTACCAGCATCATCGTCGTCACCATCACCATCCCCATCAGCATCGTCATCATCAGCATCGTCACCATCGTAACTTACCCTCCCCGGGAAAGTCTTTGCTTATCCCCGCCAGAACCCCTGACATTCATTATCCCAGAGGGGTTCGTTATCGCCCGCGCGCGGTTACCAATACTCCGTCGGGCCAGCGAGAGGCCCGGCATACTTTCGGGGGCCGATGTCAATACCGACGCTCGTCGCGGGAGGCAATGCAACACGAATATTCCCTGCGGGAGGCAAGAGGGAACCCGCCCCAGAAAGTTGCCCAAGACGGGCGCTCAACCTCCCCGGGCGGGCGGAGCGTGGGGGCCCGAGGACACGGCGGACCTGGTTCGGAGAGGAGCGACGTTCGATGTCCGGGAGGGTTTTGGCGATTGTCTCTGAGCGGCAGTCGGCGTCGTCGTCGTCGTCGCCGACACCGCCGCCGCCGATGCCGCCGTCGTCGTTTTCGACCTCGTCGCCGTGTTGTCGTCGCAATGGCAGCTTGTGATTAACAAATGATGGAATTCTCTCAGGGGCTGATGCCGCCCCGGGGCTGATGGATACACCCCGCGGGGGCGAAACATTTTGTAATCACGCGCGTCGAGGGGTCGTCGTCGGCGCCGCTAAGGGGATCATGGGTCCTCCCTTCACGGCAGCTTCAAAATGATTGTTTATCGATAGAATTTGTTTGAAGGGTCGGCGTCGTTGTCGTTGCCGTCGTCGTCGTCGTCGTTGTTCGTCGGTTGTCGTCGTCCAAGCCGTGGTCGGTCGTCGTCGTCGTCGTCGTCGTCGTCGTCGTCGTGTCGTTGTTGTCGTCGTCGTCATCGTCGTCGCCGTCGTCGGTTACAGCGGGCCTACGCCGGCATCGCACTATCGTCGTTTCGTCGTCTCACCATCCTTGTCGCGTCGTCGTCGTCGTTGTCGCCGTCGTCGTCGACTGCAGTGGGGCTTGCAACGCAGCGCCCATTTCTGGGGTTTCCGCTATGCGTTTTCGTCGTTGTTGTCGTCGGCAACGGTGACAGCAGGCGCCGTCGTCGTCGACGACGACGGCGTCGTCGTCATAATCGTCTTCGTCGTCGCCGCGTATACGCAGCACCCGCGCTCCTTTCGTTCGCTGTGCGTCGTCGTGCAGAATCCTATGGACCATTCGCAGTGCGTCGTCGTCCGCCATCGCCATCGTCGTCGTCGTCGCCTAGGTTTACGTCTACGTCGTCGTCGTCGTGGGACAATGTAGTAGAGGGGGGACGGGGAAAACGAATAAGAGGAACCCTTTCTGCCTGCTTCTGCCGCTCCCCCTTTTTTGTTGCAGCCATGTGTGCACCGTTCGCCTGCTGAGGCGCCTCTTTCCCGCGCCTCTTCCCTTCCTGTCTTCAGCCGTTTCGGCCCAACCGCCCCGCTATAGCGGAGGTGTTGTTGTTTCCGTCAACTGATGCGGTGCCGCTTGCGTCGCGCATGTCGCCCTCGTGTTGTCCGCCGTGTCGGTGCGAGTCGCCGGCGCCGACGCCGTGTGTTTGCATTTGCCGGACGCCCGCCCCCTGCGATTCGACCGAGTTGAGGAACAATTTTGCCCAACACGCGCCCCGCCTGTTTATGTTAGCGACACGTTGGCATTAAAGGCGTTGTTGGGCCTCCTGGGGCCTCCAAGAGACGTACAGGGATGTGGGGCGGGGTGGCCCTTGGAGGCCACCCGTTCGAGGTGGCACCGTGCGGCGAGGAAAAACACATAACATAAAACTCAGCATACGAAACACAAGGAGATACGGGTTGAATACAACAAATAATGGTATCACGAATCACAGGGTATTAAGAAGAACGATGCCGGAAACAAGCCCCAATCATACATGTTGTTTGAGCTATCGGGCTATCAGTCTATAGTGCTATCGGGCTGCAGTGCCCTAGGGCTGCAGGGGTATTGGGTTGGATGGGGTATAGGGCTATTGGGCCAGAGGGCTATAGAATGTTTGGGGCCACGCGGCTAACAGGCTATGGGGTTATGATGCTATAGAGTTATAGGGCAATTTGGCTATACGGCTATAGGGCTATAGGGCTATAGGGCTGTAGCGCTATAGGGCTATAGGGCGATAGAGCACCCGGGCACCTTTTGGGCACCTTTTGGGCACCCCCGGGCACCCCCGGGCACCTGGGCACCCATGCACCCGGGCCGCCCACCGAAATCGGCGACCCACGCCACCTGTCAATGTGAATCCGCTCGGACCCGTACAGAGGCAAGCCCTGATCGGGGAATCATATCAAAAAAGAAATGGCAATCATAACAATAACGGGGAGAAGAAGAACAAGAGGGGGGAAGAGCAGGAGGGGGAGGGGGATGAGGCATGGACAAAAGGACGAGGAGGGTGGCGACGGAAAGGAGGAAAAGGAGTGGGGGGTCGACGAGGGCCCCGAATATTTGCGCGGCCGACTGTTCGCTCCCAGGTCGTTTTTGGTGACTGGCCCGATGCCCCAGGTAAAGTCCATACCTCATGAAAACGATCGTCTACTAACTTTGTGTATTTGTTCGTTACGCCGCGATCCGACCAATCATGTAATACCACGTCCGTGGCAGACGTCGTTCTGGCCACCTTGCGTGGTGAGCCTCCAGCAGGGGCGCATCGCGGTGGCGTCCTCACATTGCAGGCGCACGTGCGAACATGTGCGGCCAGAGTGGGCCTTCGGGGTTACGTTCGGGGAGTCGGAGTAGGTGTTTTTTTTCAGCCGGGATGAGCCACAGCGTGTTTCGATTGTCGGCGATGCCAGGGCAAGCACGATAGCGTTTTCGCGAACGAATGCGTGATGCTATTGGGTGGCATTATTTTTCGCGCGTGGAGAATGTATTTGTCGATAAAGGCGTCGCAACTTCAGGAGTGGGCGATTTTTTGCCGCGCCCACTAACTGACCACTCGCGCGCGCGACTGCGTCCGCGTTGG